ATGAGACTAAATATCAGAAGAACAAAAGAAATAAGGACCAAACTATTGGACTCAATATCAGTGGAGGAAAACAGGTAAGATCCAAGCTATTAGACTTAATATCAGTGGAAAAAAAGAATAAGGACCAAATTATTAGCCTCATATCAGAAGAACAAAAGAAATAAGGCCCCAAATATTGGACTTAATATCTGTGGACGAAAACAGGTAAGGACCAAGTTATTAGACTGAATAGCAGTGGGAAAAAAATAAGGACAAAATTATTAGACTAAATATCAGATGAGCAAAAGAAATAAGGACCAAACTATTGGACTAAATATCAGTGGAGGAAAACAGGTAAGGACCAAACTATTAGACTGAATATCAGTGGGAAAAAGAATAAGGACCAAGTCATTAGCCTCATATCAGAAGACCAAAAGAGATAAGGACAAAACTATTGGACTTAATATCAGTGGAGGAAAACTGGTAAGGACCAAGCTATTAGACTGAATATCAGTGGGAAAAAAGAATAAGGACCAAATTATTAGCCTCATATCAGAAGATAAAAAGAAATAAGGAATAAACTATTGGACTCAATATCAGTGGAGCAAAACAGGTAAAGACCAAGCTGTTAGACTGAATATCAGTGGAGCAAAACAGGTGAGGACCAAGCTATTAGACTGAATATTAGTGGAGCAAAACAGGTAAGGACCAAGCTATTAGACTGAATATTAGTGTAGCAAAAGAATAAGACCAACGTTATTTGACTAAATATCAGAAGAGCAAAAGAAATAAGAACCAAACTATTGACCTCAATATCAGTGGGGCAAAATAGGTAAGGACAAAGCTATTAGACTGAATATCAGTGGAGCAAAAGAATAAGGGCAAATATTTTTGACTTAATATCAGAAGAGCAAAAGAAATAAGAACCACACTTTTCGACTCAATATCAGTGGAGCAAAACAGGTAAGGGCTAAGCTATTAGACTGGATATCAGTGGAGTAAAAGAGGTAAGGACCAAACTTTAGATACTAATATTCAGGTTCATAAGTGTTAAGTATCAGTCTTAAGGACAATAGAATGTTTTAAAACACACATGAATTAATTTGGTAGAACATTTATAAATGTTATTTAGTTTGCAAAATAAGTTAAGACCAGATTAAATTATTGTGAATGATTGGTTAAACATGATGCACCAATGGATGAAAATAAGCGAAATCTTCAGTCGATTCCTTATAGGAAAAAGTAAAATAATCGAACCGAACTCTAAGGAAAATTCAAAACGGGAAGTCCTTTATCAAATGGCAAAATCAAAAGCTCAAACACATAAAACGAATGAAAAACAACTGTCATATTCCTGACTTGGTGCAGGCATTTCCTTTTGTAGAAAATGGTGAATTTAACCTGGCTTGAAAGCTATCTAATTATTATGACAGGAGTTAGTATCCTTAAATGATAGTTTCTTTACCAGTTAAACTGTTTGACCAAATATTATAAAAAAAGATCAGCTACACAAGTGTAACAGTTAAACCAAAGTAGAATGATTAAAACAACAACTCTTTTCAAATTTTCCCAACTAAATTCCAATGTTAGACATTTTAAAATGTTTTCTTCTTGTCCTGAAAACTATAATGAATTGATATCAACTTAACACACTAACGATGATCAGTAAGACAAGATTGTAACAATACAGTTTCTTTTTAATTTTTTTTTATTATTGTTGCATTGAATAAGTTATATACAAAACTGTCAGATGAAGGATACAAGCTCCATGGAGCCTCTAGCTATGTAAATTGTTCTTAAAATATAGGACATAAATTGTAAATAATATTATTTTCTTTTTGCTGGGTCCACATTTCAGTATGCGTCGAAAAATTAACTTCAAACTTGACTAAATAATAAGAAAAGAAGGAAAACTGGTTCTTTGTATACTTGACTTTTTCCTTGAGTAATTTTGGTTGAATTTCAAATACTTTGGCCTCGAGCAGCCCTGAAGATACATTATTTGTTGATGAGCACAACTGGTGCGGAAATGTTGGTACAGTAAATGTTATTATAAACATTAAAAATATAAAACTTAGTTTATTGGTTGATCAAGTAAGGGGTGGAATATTTATCTATAAAATATCCAGATTAAAATGATTATACGTATTCTAATGTTCATGATAAAACCTTTACGATGCAGAAATGCTTGTATTGTGCCCTAATTTTAATGCAGTAACCGTTTACCAAAAGAGGAGGCAAGTTCTAATCCATCTAGAAAATGTTTCATTTTGTTTTAATTGGGAGAAAATATTACAAAATATTACAACCAGATTCAAGATCGTTTTTAATATAATTTCACAATTCTTTAAACATTATAGAAATGAAGTTGTAAATTGTTTAGTAGAAATGATCATTTTGCGTACATAGCAGCAATGTTTCATTGAATTATATTGGTGATGTAACAAAGTAGAATTAGTCAGCTGCACAATCGGGCACGCCTACCTTAGCCAAACGAAATTCTTAATTTGGATTCGTTTTAATCGACAACCATTTCAAGAGGGTGTTAATTTGTTACAAAACACCAAAAAGATGTGTAGGTTGAACGAATTAGACACAAAGCATTGAGTGTTATAGGATCTTCAGAGCTTACAATTGCTGGTCAGTAATTGCAAAAAAACGAAAAGTAGTGGTTATTATAAAGATGAAACCATAAAGAAAATAGAAAAAAAACCTTTGCAATATTCAGCTTTAGATTACTTAATGTAAAATTTACTGTGATTTTTTGTTTGATATAATTTATTGATATTATGTCCACCTTACCTTAGGTATTTGAAAAAAGAATTGGGTAAAATTACCAAAGTTTATAACTAAAAATTATTTTTTTCTTGTCTTCTTATTGCTTTGTGCAGGGCCATCCCGTTTTCAATAATTCACAGATTACGCCATAACCTTTTTATATATTATACTAACTGTTAATAACTATTATGAAACTGGTAAATATACATTCCTTGGTAAAAGCTATGACTGTCGTAAATATGAAACGTTTAGTGACATGTATTTAACGAATTCAATATAATTTTTAAAAAAAAGTAAATATTTATCTTTCAGAACAAATCAATCAGATATTAGAAGAATGGCAAATGAATGCTTGTACATTTGTTGAGACTAGAGCTGCCAAACATGTTTTAGAATGTGTGCAAAAAAAATAATTGTGTAACTATTACTGCTAGTTCTGGTGTTGGAAAGACTGCAACACTGCGATATGTTGCTTTAAACATGATGAATGACGACTATGATGTACTATTAGTAACAAATCCACAAGACATTCTTAAGTTCTACAATCCATACAAGAAAACATTGTTTGTTATGGATGATTTATGTGGAACTTATTCTATAAATAAGTATGAGATTGATAGTTTTCAGTCCGTCATTGAACGTATAAAACTACTGCTTAAGAATCAACTTACAAAAATCATTGTTGCAAGTCGATTACAAATTTACCAAGATGGAAAGTTTAAAACGTTATCAGTTTTTAGGACATGTGTATGCAACCTGCTACAAAAAGAGAAGCAGTCAATAGCAGAATTATATTTGGAAACAAAAGCTTCAGATATAATTCAGTACTGCAATTTGTATGATTGTTTTCCTCTTCTCTGTAAATTGTATGATGCTACTCTTGATCTCAATATTGAAGATTTCTTTACAAATCCATTTTCAGTATATGCAACCGAAATTGACAAGCTTTATCAAAAGGAATATAATGGAAAATACTGTGCTTTGGCTTTGTGTGTCATGTTCAACAACCGATTGAAGGAAGAATGGTTGACCAAAGAAACACAAAAAGAAATAAGAATGGTAATAGAGAACACATGTGAGGCCTGTAGATTGGACAGAGGTACATCTCGACTTATCCTATTAGATGAAATAAAAACTCTTGAACATACTTTCATTAAGAAAGATGAAGATGTATATAAAACTATACACGATAAAATATTTGACTTTCTGACATATTATTTTGGACAAAAAATGATCCAGTGTTTCATAAGAAATGCAGACAGTCTGGTTATTATGCAGAGATTTTCAATTGAAACAAATTATGACACGGATCAGTTTATTACTCTTGTACCAACTAAATACCAACAGATGTACATACAGAGAATGATCAATGACTGGTCAAAATGTAGAGTACAGTTTGTTTTTAATAACATAAATTTTCAGGAACTGACATTCAGACAGAGATTCCTATGTTATTTGAAAACACTGAACATTTCATTCAAGAAACAATTAGCACTGAAATGTGATGTTATTAACAAAGATACTGTGCTGATCCAGTGTTGTTACATAGGTGATATTCCTTTAATTCAGTGGTGTATTTATCAGGGTGTTTATGTTGACCGTTGTAACTATAGAAGTGTGAGCCCTTTGTTTGTATCAGCATTACAAGGTCATACCGGTGTAGTGAAGTTATTACTTGAAAACAAGGCAGACATTAATAAAAGTGAGGATGTAGGAATATCTCCTTTGCATATTGCCTGTCAGAATGAACATAAAGAGGTAGTAAAACTATTATTGGACAACAAGGCAGACATTAATAAATGTACAAACACTGGAGTATCCCGTTTGTATTTTGTATGTCAGGAGAGTTATATAGAAATGCTAAAACTGTTACTGTGCATATTGCATGTCAGAATAATCATAAAGATGTCGTAAAACTTTTACTGGACAACAATGCAGTCATTGATAAGTGTATAGATAATGGAGAAACTCCTTTGCTTATTGCGTGCAACAATAATCATATGGAAGTCGTAACATTATTATTAGACAAGAAGGCTGACATTAATAAATGTACAGATGAAGGGGAATCTCCATTGTATATTTCTTGTCAAAATAATCATCCAGAAGTAGTTTAACTATTACTGGATAACAAAGCAGTCATTGATAAGTGTACAGAAGATGGGGCATCACCTTTGTATATTGCCTGTCAAAATAATCATATAAAAGTAGTCAATCTTTTACTGGACAACAAGGCAGACATTAATATGTGTACAGATAAAGCAGAATCGCCTTTGTATATTGGTAGTTACTATAATCATATAGAAGTAGTAAAATTATTACTTGACCACAAGGCAGACATTAATAGGTGTCCAACTAATGGACAGTCACCTTTGTATATTGCTTGTCAGGAGAACCAAATAGGAGTAATAAAACTATTACTGGACAACAAAGCAGACATTAATAAATGTAGATATGATGGAGCATATCCTTTGTTTACTGCTTGTCAGAATAATTTAAAAGAGACAGTTAAATTATTACTGGAGAGCAAAGCAGACATTGAAAACTGTGCAAATAATGCAGAATCTCCTTTGTATGCTGCTTGTCAGAATAATCATATAGAAGTATTAAAACTATTACTGGACAATAAGGCAGACTTGAATAAATGCAGAGATGATGGAACTTCTCCTTTTCATATTGCTTGTTACAAAAATCATATAAATGTAGTCAAACTATTACTGGAGAACAAGGCAGACATTAATAAGTGTTCAGATGGTGAAGTATCTCCTTTATTAATTGCATGCCAGGGTAATCATATAGAAGTACTGAAACTATTACTAGACAACAAGGCAGACATTAACAAGTGTGCCGTAAATGGAGAATCTCCTTTGTATGTTGCTTGTAACAATAATCATATAAAAGTAATTAACCTATTACTTGAAAATAAGGCAGACATTAATAAGTGTATAGATAATAGATCATCTCCGTTGTTTATCGCTTGTTCTAATAATCATATAGAAGTAGTAAAGCTTTTACTGGGTAACCAGGCAGACATAAATAAGTGTACACATGATGGCGTATCTCCTTTGTTTGAAGCATGTCAGAATAATCACGTTGGGGTAGTAAAATTATTATTAAATAACAAGGCATGTATTGATAAGTGTGCAGATGATGGAGTATCTCCTCTGGTGATTGCTTGTAGGAACTATCATATAGAGGTAGTAAAACTATTACTCGACAGACAATAATAACTGTGTAGACAAAACTAAAGATGCAGACGAGAAAAATGACTGTGTTTTATAGCCTCAATTTAAAAATAATCACAGCTAGTCTTTCAAACTATTGCTGGATAACCTCCTTTGTTATTCATAAATAAAACATCGCAAATTTATTTATAAGTATAACTACTGTAAACCAACTTATTTTTGCGGATACTTTATTTCGCGTATAACCCTTTCTATCCCAATTCGCGCCGACTTAATTTCGCGATTCTCAAATTAACTTGATGCAGGATCATTCAAATAAGGAAAAATCCAAGTTTTACGTATTCGCGACGATTTATATTCGCGTTATTTTTCTGCTTTACCTAAATTGTGATTAGATGTAATTTTACTTATAAAATTGAAATATTCAATTGTTTTTTTTTAAGCTATGTTTGTTCTTATTTTTGTTGGATGTTCATCTTTATTTTTCTCTTAGTGTTTATATTAAATAGTAAATGCAGCTCATCTTCAAAGTCACCTGGCATGTACGTTAACACCTTGGAAATCATAATATCTTCCGATTTCACTAAGCAATTAAAGGTATACTTGTACAATAATTTACATTGTTTTTATAGAACGAAACATTCAGATGAGTTGTCGAGTGCATATGATTCTGTCTGTTTTACAAATTGGTTATTTGTTTCTAATAGTACACTAGTAAAACAGTCATTTTGATCTGAACAGCTCCCAAAAGACAGAACAATGAATTGTTTAGTTATGTTTAGTCTTTCCGTTCATTTTCGTCAATAAAACAAGGCTAATTTGTAGTCATGATTCTTTTCCTGGTACACTTCGGGAATGAGTTGTTATATGATTATTTTTGAATTCTAAAATTTGTGGTTAGCTGTGATTCAATAAATTCATTAGATATTATATCCCACAAATGAAATTAAAGAAGAATATAATGATAAATATACAGAAAAAAGGGGTTTAAAAGTAACCAAATGACAAAGTCAATCATGCGCACATATATAAATATATGTATTGTTTTAAACAAACTTCGTACTCAATCAGAAAATTTAAGTTATGCAGTTATGCTCTTACATATCGAACTGAATATTTTTTATGAATAAATGCAACAATAGTTAACCGGTTTTCAAATCTCGTAAATTGATAAAAAGGCACAAATCAATATAACAAACAAAAACTGAGGGAATTGACTAATGGGTGCGTCGACATGGTTAGTGTTTCTTGCTATGCATTCATCAGCCGAAAAGCAAATCTAAACTTTGTCAAAATATCACATTGGTAAATAAAACGCATACGGTAGAACTACATATCATGCGAGTGTTCTGCTATCGCAAGTTCTAAAACCACAAGAACATTTCGTTCGTGAGTTAAGACACCACAGTGAAATTAAACTATCACATTGATTCGAAGAATTTCTTTTTAAAAATAGAACCCATAAAGACCAACCTAGGTATAGTAATTAAATCGTCTTGCAATGACAATGAAAAAGTCAAATACGATTTAAAATTTGGAGGCAACCAATTGACAATCTTTACACCTGCCTCTGTAGAGAAAGTGCGTAAGATTATTCTGAAAGCTCTAACTAAACCATGCGTAATGAACCCACTTCCGAAAAAAAAATTTAAATCGTGTTTGAATATTTTAGCTAGAGTCATCATGCCAGATAGTGAACTTGTCACTGAAACAGTGTTGTGTAGCACCATCGTTAAAGGAGACGGTTGTCCGACCACTCTGCCCCTCTTGCGTAATGCTGGTACACACAAAGAGGTGTTGAAAAATTATCGACCGATCCTTAACCTTTCGTTTGTACCCAAAGTAGTCGAAAATGTCGTTGAAATTTCTTGAAAACCATCATATGTCAACACTTATGATGACGTACACTCAGCCTACCGTGCGTGTCATTTGCTTGAGACAGCACTATTTCGTGTTCATCATGACATTACTTTTGCACTTGACAACAACTGTTTTGCCGTTTTCCTAATGCTAGATCTATCGGCTGCTTTCTATGTGGTCGATTATTCTATTCTGGTGAAGCAGTTGAAACATTCTTGTCGATAAACGGTACAGCACTTAGTTGGATGAAATTGAATCTCGAGATAAGGTCTCAATGCATCACTATTGGTTCTGTTATTTCGGATGAAATTCATCACAAGTATGGTGGTCCCCAAGGATCGGTCCTGGGATCAAAACTCTATTATATTTTTTCTTAACCAATTGGCGAAATATGTAAACGCCATGATACGTACTCTCACTGCTATGCAGACGACACACACGTTTGCTACGTGTTCAGACTACTTGATAATAGGACAAACATATCAAGGCGACTTGAGGCTTGCGTTGCTGATATCAGCAAGTTGAGATTATGTTAAAATTACTCCAGGATAAAACTGAAATGATTGTATTTTCTCCAAAAATACCGAGTGAAGTACCTTATAGACTTGCATCTGAACTTTGGTGGAAGCATTGGCTGTATGGACTATCAGCTACCATTATTCAGAGATTACCGCGAGTCCAAAACAGAGCAGCAATGGTCATTACAAGGAGGAAGAAATACGACCATATCACACCAATCCTTTAATATCTTCATTGGCTGTCCGTTACTGATCGATGCCAATATAAACTTCTTTTGTATGTGTTCAAGTAAGGTTTTGCAAGAGGAGGCACCAGTCTACCTAAAAGAACTCGTTACTATCTACAAAGCGATGTGAAAACTGAGATCTGAAAATGCCATGCTTTTAATAACGAAAAATGTTAGATTTAACAAATGGGAAAAGAAGATTCAACAAAGTAGATGAAGTTCTGTGGATCAATTTGCCAAGTGAATTACGAAACATACATTCTATGAACATTTAAAAAAAAAAACCTAAAAATTCATTTATTCAGGCATGCTTTTTAATACTTCTTAAAATATATTTACCTCATTGTAATTTTTGAATTTCTAACTTATTTGAATTGTACTGGTCGAGGACCAGTTACCGTCACTTTTTGTCAGTATATGTCATTTATCTTCTTAACGTGAGAAAATTTAAATCTATCCTTTGACAAGGAAAGTGGTTACCAAAAATACTTTAATACTTCAATTGGTCAGTATTTAATATTGACCGAATTTTCTAGAAATTAACTTTTTACGGCGTCTGATTTCGTACGAAATTTGAAGATACCGAGGACCAGTTACCGTCAGCACCGAAATTGATACAATTCTCTCTCAATGGTTGTCAGATGACTTTAAACACGATCTTAAACTATTCTAACAAAATGTATAGTATTGATCTTTTACATAAAATGTTATGAATCAATTTGGAGATAAGCAGATATTTTTTTAACGTTGAAGCGTCGTCTTCGTTACGCAGGAGTTGTCTCTCTTTACTTACCTCGTCAAAGTACCTCATTTTGATTTACCGCCCTTTTTTGATGAACGGTGAACCCCGGCGTGGAAAGCATGGCTCGAAGTAGAATGAAGATGACTGACCAACTGTGAGGAGGAGAAATTTGAAACAGACGAATAAACAGTCAAGACTTTACTTAAAATAGACCGCACATTTGGTTGTGATATAATTTCGAGATCGTTAATATTATAAATCTGACTTGAAATATCGTGAATTAGCTTCCAACTTCCAAGTTCCAGACAGCTCCAGTTTACACGCAGGTAATTTCACTAAAACACGGGTCAACATTTAATTAATTAGGTGTGTAAATACAGACATTTTTTTCCATTTGTTATGATGAACCTGAAGTAGAAGGGGCGACCATTTGATATGTTGTTTTAAGGGGATGGGGTCCACTTCAATACTTAATTGTTAGGGGTGCCGCTAGGGTTCTGTTTTTGTAAATAATTGTTTGTTTTGATATTGTAACACAGTGATGACTGCTGTACCCATATTTTGACTATTTTATTTATAATGTCTGTTTTGTTCACGCATCGTTGTAAATATAACGGAATTTGATAAGACTGTCGTACAAGTGAGAGGTTTAGCGCTATAAAACCAGGTTCAATCCACCATTTTCTACATTTGAAAATGCCTGTACCAAGTCAGGTATATGACAGTTGTTGTCCATTCGTTTGATGTGTTTTGTCATTTGATTTTGCCATGTGATTAGGGACTTTCCGATTGAATTTTCCTCGGAGTTCAGTATTTTTGTGATTTTACTTTTTACCCCCATCCTTTTTATATAATTTATATTTTAAAAATGTATACCTTTTCATATATGGTGTAGGTATTGTTTGGGTTTCATGTGGTGTGTAATGTACAAATGAAATACCAAAGTGTCAAAAGAGAAAAATTGGTTGATAAAAACACAACCGATTTTTAACACCAAGAAAGATGACAGTGAAGAAGTTATGGGAACTTTATTGACATTGTCATATATTTCTGATAGTTTTCCGACCTATTCACACATTTTTAAGCCTGAAAAAGTGACATATTCCAGCTGTACATCCTTTCACCTTGTATATAGGAAGTGCCCCCACCCACCCCCCGGGTCTTCAGTTGTATCGCATGGTTATGTTAACTTTTTAACACATGACATGTCCTGATGCATGTGTTACAAATTATGCCACCTGCTGGCCCCACAACGAGTTGTTGCAAAAGTTCCGGAGATGCATAGTGTTTGCCACTATCTGTACACAAGGCATCGTATAAATGTACCAATTCTAACTAGACATGGCTGCATATATACTTGTACTATAGATACTGTGTTAACTGTTATCTTGATGACCAATTTCTTGATCAAATTATATATACATGTAACGTGACGGTACCCAAATTGCACCTATTTTGACAGTTTTTTCACCTACGTTTATTTATGATCCAGACAAGTTTCCATTCTGTGTTTATTTTGTAGAAGTGTCATTATTGTGTAAATGGTTCCACCAATTTAATTTTGAATCCATATTGAATCACAGAAAAACGGGTTTCAACAGACCTCCAAACGATCCAGAATACTGTAATGAGGAGTACCCAAATTGAATCAATGCTTAAATTCACATCCTTAAAAACCGAATAAGTTAGGAGATGTTTTGTGTAATTTTTTCAAATATTTAGAACAATTTGACATTGGTCCATGCTTAGTTACTGTTCATTTTTTAAGAAATGGATGCTTGTTACATATTTAATATTTACTCATTTTTATACGCCCGTTTACCTCTGTCCATCCGTCGTCAACATGTCGGACATTAACTCAAAAGAGCTTTAACCAATTTGCATAAAACTTTGGTGAATTGTTTATAAAAACGGGACGTATTATGGTATACCATTGTCCGTCTGTCTGTCCGTCCGTCTTCCGTAGATTTACTTTTTCCAGGGAATGCTTCATCATGTGTTCATATGCTGATATAAACTGTGAACGTTAACATTTTGTGTATATTTTAAATATATTTACCTATGTTGAAAGACGTGCATAATGTCAAATCATAAAAATACAAATTGTTTAGTCTCAAAGAAAACGTGTAAGATTTCCTCAGCTATTTTTGTTGAATAGGTGCAATTTGGGTGCTCGGTGCAATTTGGGTACTGTGACGTTAATTAGTACAAATCAGTTTGATGTCCTCTTACACTATAATAATAAATTGATGAAATACATTGGTACTGGCAAATCAGGTTGGGAACAACCCCCCAAATGAGAAATATCCCTTAAATTAGGGACTTTCCCTCGGGCAAGGGGTCATTTTACTGTTGTAGGAAAAAGAAAAAAAAACTTTTTTTTAACTTGAAAGGGGAAAAATTCATTATAGTTAAAACAACTTTTCTAAAAGAGGGATCCCATTATTTTTAACAATATAAAAGAAGATATAATAAGTCCATGACATGTTACGACCATACATGTTTGTATGTATAGTTCTTTGGGAAAAGTTTCTTCAAATAATATAAATATAGGCTCATTTGTATTTAAAGTGGTTTTTACCAAAAAAATATTTGTTATCTCTTTTAATGTACCCCTCTTAAATTAAAAGGGATTTTCATTACATTGATGGTCATTTGAGGGGTTGTTCTCAACCTGATTATGGTACATGTTAGTCCTAATATTTTAAGGAATTTGTTATTTTGTAAATTAGCTGATGTACATTAGTCTGAGACACGTTTTGGACTACATGTAGTGTACAAGGTTGAGTATTAATGAAAAATTGAATTCTTCCCTCTTGTTAGATTAGCTTATATATATTGATTAGCTCAATAGCTGGTCATACAATGTATGTATGCTCTAGTCTATATAGTCTTCGCAAGATGTACGTGTACTTGACTCCTTGACCATTGCTCTTGTGATTTATTGACCTACATATGCATGTAATCAAATTTGCATGTACATGTACTAGACTCCTTGACATTGCTCTTGTGATTTATTGACCTACATATGCATGTAATCAAGTTTTTATGTTCAATTTGTACTATCATGTTTAGCTACATGTAGCTGTGTAGGTCATCTATATTTGGTGTCTGCAATAATTGTAAGATGTGTATGTCTTTCTGGAAGGATTCAACTGACCACAGCCTCAATTTCCTGGTTCATGGCTAAAGGTGATCAGTGGTGTGTTTTCTGTTTTTTTTTAGTCTGTTTCTCAGATGCAATGGAATGAGCAGATCGTTAATTATATAAGGGTATGTTATGATTGTAAAGAGAACATGTCTGTCTTGCAGGGTTCATCTGAAATATTTTTTTGCGTGTTTAAAAGGGTGAAGTATCTTCTTAATTTGAACATTATTAGAACTGGTCTGCAGTGATCGGGAAGGTCGTGCGCCAGTTGCGCATTTTTGACCAGAAATGGTGCATAGAGTGGCAAATGTCAGCGCCAGTGTGGCGCACGATATTTTTCGGTTCATATCTAAACGTTCAGATATATAGTAAAATGAATTTCCGATCGTGTTTCGTGTCACCATATTTGTGTACAAAACTATGTTGTGTTCTCTCCAATGACCGGAGCACCACCTATATATTTTTGGGCCGTCTTGGGCGTTTTCCTTCGTGTTTAGGATAGCAACGTGCGGTATATCTGATTACCGCAAAAATATGATTTTCTGTAATTATATTTATGGTGTTCAAATACAAAGACAAAACTTGCATTTTATCAATATGTTCTATTTTAGCCATGTGGTCCATCTTGGTTTGGAGCCGGGGTCATCAGACAAATTTTTAAAGTTGAGATGACAAACCCTCAAGTGTGCTCACATGGCTCCTTGTGACTGCAACAAAAATAAAGCCTGGTCTTTTATAACGACAAAACTACAGGTACAATATACCTTTTTTTAGCTCACCTGGCCCAAAGGGCCAAGTGAGCTTTTCTCATCACTTGGCGTCAGTCGTCGTCGTTAACTTTTTACATTTTGAAATTCTTCTAGAGAACCACTGAATGGAATGAAACTAAACATGGCATGAATGTTCCTTATGAGGTGCTGACAAAGTGTTGTTACTTTGAAGCCGATCCATCATCCAAGATGGCCGCCAAGGGGGGACTTAGTTTAACATAGGACCCTAAGGGAAATACATACAAATGTCTTCTTTTAAAGAACCACTGAATGGAATGAAACCAAACATGGCATGAATGTTCCTTTTGAGGTGTTGACCAAGTGTTATAACTTTGAAGCCGATCCATAATCCAAGATGGCCGCCTGCGGGGGACTATGTTTAACAAAGGACCCTATGGACCATACATACAAAAGTCTTCTTTTTGAGAACCATTGAATGGATTGAAACCAAACATGGCATGAATGTTCCTTATGTGGTGCTGACTAAGTGTTGTTACTTTGAAGCTGATCCTTCATCCACGATGACCGCCAGCGGGGGGACTTTCTTTAACATAAGATCCCATTGGAAATACATACACATGCTTCTTCTAGAGGTGCACTGAATGGAATGAAACCAAACATGGCATAAATGTTTCTTATGAGGTGCTGATGAAGTGTTGCTACTTTGTTGCTGATTTACTGTTCAAGATGGCCACCAGGATTTTTTATAAAATTACAGGGCCAATATTAAACCAAATTTGGCCTCACTCATATTTAGGGTATATGTTATGATTTTAATCTATTTTAACATGATTTCCAAAATTAAAGTAGAATCAGGTGAGCGACACAGGCTCTTGAGAGCCTCTAGTTTCAATACATTGGCATATCAAAACAAAGTCAAATCATCAATTTCTGATACTGTAAACACAATTTTTTTTTAATTTGAGTATGCTAGTAAATTGAAGGTTAAATACACATGTCTGCTATATCATGTACAAGTATTTCATTAAACATTGTTAAATGAACAAAATATTCCTTTATTACTTGAAAAAAAAATCCAGGTTATCTGAAGTGATGGTGAACTTGTAGTACATTTTAGCGGGACAGGTCAAGACAAACAAGGAGGAGTCCTTTATGATTACATCCTTTAAAAAATCTTTTGTGAGAACAGTATAGCCCAATTACTGACCCTAAATTTTTAGATGGTTAAAAAGTTATATAAAATGTTTTTATGAAAGTTTCAGATTATTGGATACATCAACTTGTTTATAATTAACATCTTCAAAAATCAGTTGCTAAAATATTGGTATATACTGGAAGGTATACATTGTACATGGAACTTGTGTGTACTTCTTGAAGTACTTGTTATTTTTCATATAATTTTCTTTTCAATGTTTTAAAAACCGCAGGTACATTCATTTGTTTTTGTTTTAGAATTACCAATAACGTAATAGTTTTGCAACTTGACCATTGATTATTTTTTTCATTTTGTGAATCCAAATCATGGGTTAAAACTTTATCGCTACCACTTTTTAATTTTACTTCCAGATACAATATGAAGAGGGCAAATAAAGGTAATCTAATCAATATGTTGAATTTAAAGATTAGGAAAAAATATGATTTTCTGTAGCTTAAAATTTACATGAAATATAGAAGTGAAAAAATTGATTGTATCCCCTACAGAAGATATTTGTGTTATCAAAATTTTATCAATATTGCAGCAATAAGTTTGTTATGAACAGTATGAAATTTAAATCAATAAAATGCAATTGCGATCTCAAACATTATTTAAAAACAAATTGCACAGTTCTTCAAATTCAGTATGACAAGAGTCTTTGGATAGATTTTTGTTTTATTCCCTATTCTTCCATTGTCTCAATAATGTCAATATCACTATCAAATTGTAAAAACTCTTCCCTTATTAAAGGTGTCTTCACTCTGCTACTTCTTCTACTGTCTACAGATGAATTACTACATGTAGCATACTGGTGGACTTGAGCAGTGATTTGTTGGTTAGATTGCTTATTTCTTTTTTCTTCCTTCCTCTGTCTCTTCCTCTCTCTTTCGTCTTCTTTTTCAGTGTCTCTCAATTCTCTGTCTCTTTTCTTCCTTTCTCTTTCCTCCTTCTTTGCCTCCTTTAAAACTTCAGCTTCTTCCTTCTTTCTCGCTCTTTCTGTTTTCCTCTTTTCTTTCTCTTCTTCCAACTTTTTTGCTTCATCATGCTTATACTGCAGTTTCTGTAGCATTTCATCCCCTGTAATGACTCTTGCTTCTGTTACAATTTTACTAGAAGTTTTTTTTGCCTGAGATGGATTTGCAGGGGGTAACAACACATCAGCTAAACTTTTTGGGATTAAGTTTTTTGTAACGAGTGGATTTTCTGTTGTTTTGTTCAGCTCAGTTTCTGTTGTGTATGTTAAAGTGTTGCCACAACAGTGACAAAGAATTGTTGATTCCTGGTGCTCTACAAAAGAAAAAAAATTTACACTATAATAGTATTAATTGAAAGGCTAATGAGTTATTGTCAAACTCAGGATAGAACTGTTTATACCTGTGAAACAATGATTATAGGTTTCATAACGAGTGAGAATAGGATATCGCTTGATAACAACTTGTGTTATTTAATTTCTATATAATAACGAGCCTTCGGTGAGTTTATTATTACTATATGATATATATGCTCGATGTTAATATTTATTTTCACTTCGCATTCATCGTTGAATTAAATAATAAACACAAAACATTCATCTGAATATTATTAAAATATTTTTTTAGGTTTTTTTTGTCTAGCCTGTGGCTTCTGTTACAAACAGCTTGACATGCTTGACAAAGGGATATTTATCCGGCGGTGGCGTTATAACTAACTTCTTAAAAGCTTAATATTTCAGAAGATAGAACACCTGGATGCTTCATACTTTGTATATAGAGGCCTTATGATATGAAGTTTCCGTCTGTCATATTTCCATTGTCCTTGGCCGTATTTTCATGGTTCAGTGACTACTTGAAATAAAAATCAAGATTTTTTGTAATGTTAATTTCTCTCATATAAAGAGTAATACTAGGATAACTTTATTTGGTACATGTATGTGTGAACCTTGCAAGGTCCTCATGAGCTTTAATACAGTTTTCACTTGAGCTCAACCTCATTTCATGGATCAGTGAACAAGGTCAAGTTTTCATGGTCAAGTCCATATCTCAGATACTGTAAGCAATAGGTCTACTACATTTGGTGTATGTAATGATTGCAAGGTGTACATGTCCAACTGGCAGGTGTTATCTGACCTTGACCTCATTTTCATGGTTCAGTGGTTAAAGTTAAAGTTTTTGTGTTTTGGTCTGTTTTTTTTAAACTGTATGCAGTCGGTCAACTATATTTGATGTATGGAAATATTTTACGATGTTCATGTCAGTCTGGCAGATTTTATTTGACCTTGACCTCATTTTCACGGTTTATTGCTCAATGTTACATGTTTGTGTTTTAGTCTGTTTTTCTAATACTGTATTCAATAGGTCAACTATATTTAGTGTATGGATATATTATACGATGTACATGTCAGTCTGGCAGGTTTTATTTGACCTTGACCTCATTTTCATGGTTCATTGCTCCATGTTTAGTTTTTATACGACCGCAAAAATTTTGCGGTCGTATATTGGTATGACGTTGGCGTCGTCTTCGTTGTCGTCGTCGTCCGAAGACACATTGATTTTCGCACTCTAACTTTAGTTTAAGTGAATGGATCTCTATGAAATTTTACCATAAGGTTCAATACCACAAAAGGAAGGTTGGGATTGATTTTGGGGGTTATGGTACCAACAGTTAAGGAATTAGGGGCCAAAAATAAGCATTTTTGTAACTTCCAGACATAACTTGTGTGTTAGTGTATGGATCTCTCTGACATTGTACCACAAGGTTCCATATCACACAGGGAATGCTGGGATTGATTTTGGGGGTAATTGCCTTAAAATTTTAGGAATTAGGGGCCAAAAAAGGGGGAAAAAACAAGCATTTTTCTAGTTTCATGACAATAACTTGTGTGTAAGTGTTTGGATATTTCTGAAATTGTACTACAAGGTTCCATATCACAAAGGGAAAGCTGGAATTGAGTTTGGGGGTTATTGCCCGAAACGTTTAGGAATTGGGGGCCAAAAAACACATTTTTCTAGTTTCCAGCCAATAACTTGTGTTCAAGTGTATGGATCTCTCTGAAATTGTACTGCAAGGTACCATACCACAAAGGGAAGGCTGGGATTGAGTTTGGTGGTGATGAATCATAAGGGGGTTCAAAAAATTTGGGGGGGGGGGGGTTTCTTTCCTTTTTTTTTCTTTTTTTCCTTTTTTTTTCTTTTAAAATTTTCCATTTTAAGTTGGTTATTTCTGATTTATATTTAAAAGCAAATAATAATGATATGGTAGGAGATACACACCAAACAGGATATAATAAGTATTGTGCAATAGCAAGAAATCTTCAATTGCACAGTATTGCGCAATAGCAAGAAATCTTTAATTGCACAGTATTGCGCAATAGCAAGAAATATCCAATAGCACAATATTGCGCAATAGCAAGAAATTGTCAATTGTACAGTATTGCGCAATAGCAAGAAATATTCAATTGCACAGTATTGTGCAAAAGAAGATACTTGGTATAAATTGCTTATTTCTTGACCAATTTCAATGGGGTTTTATTCTTGAATTCTTGTTCTTCTTTAATATGCTGAATCTAACCGTGTATTAAGTTTTTGGATTTTGGGCCCCGTTTTTAAATTGGTCCACATTGAGGTCCAAAGGGTCCAAAATTAAACTTTGTTTGATTTCATCAAAAATTGAATTATTGGGGTTCTTTGATATGCCAAATCTAACCGTGTATTTAGATTCTTAATTTTTGGTTCCGTTTTCAAATTGGTCTACATTAAGGTCCAAAGGGTCCAAAATTAAACTAAGTTTGATTTTAACAAAAATTGAATTTTCAGGGTTCTTTGATATGCTGAATCTAAACATGTTTTTAGATTTTTGATTATGGGCCCAGTTTTCAAGTTGGTCCAAATCAGGGTCCAAAATTAAACTTTGTTTGATTTCAACAAAAATTGAATATATGGGGTTCTTTGATATGCTGAATCTAACCATGTATTTAGATTTTTGATTTTTGGGCCCCGTTATCAACTTTGTCCACATTGAGGTCAAAAGGGTCCAAAATTAAACTTTGATTTCATCAAAAATTGAATTCTTGGGGTTCTTTGATATGCTAAATCTAACCATGTATTTAGATTTTGGATATTGGACCATAATAGGTGAATGTCCAATTTAAAAATTTTTAAGTTCTTAGACCACATTCATTCTGTGTCAGAAACCTATGCTGTGTCAAATATTTAATCACAATCCAAATTCAGAGCTGTATCAAGCTTGAATGTTGTGTCCATACTTGCCCCAACTGTTCAGGGTTCGACCTCTGCGGTCGTATCAAGCTGCGCCCTGCGGAGCATTTTATTGTGTTTTGGTCTGTTTTTCTTAAAACTTGAAGCAATTGGTCAACTATATTTGGTGTGTGTAATGATTGTAAGCTGTATGTGTCTGTCTGGTAGGTATCATCTGACCTTCACTTCATTTTCATGGTTCAGTGGTTAAAGTTTAGTTTTTATACAACTGCAAATTGCGTCGTATAATACTATGATGTCGTCATCCGAAGACACATTTGGTTTCCGGACAATAACTTTAGTTTAAGAGAATGGATCTCTATGATTTTTTACTAGAAGGTTCAATACCACAAAAGGAAGGTTGTGATTGATTTTGGGGTGATGGTACCAACAGTTTAGGAATAAGGGGCAAAAAACAAGCATTTTTGTAGTTTCCGGACAATAATTTGTGTGTAAGTGTATGGATCTCTCTGAAATTGTACCACAAGGTTCCATATCACAAAGGGAAGGCTGGGATTGCTTTGGGGTTAATTACTCTAAAAGGGGAGGGGGGGGGGGGGTTGTGGTGTTCAAAATGTTGGGGGGATATTTTTTTGGGGGGGGGTTCATTTTTTTTCTTCAAATTTTTGAAATCTTCAATTGCACAGTATTGCGCAATAAGAAATCTTCAATTGAAAACAAATACAAATATTTGAACCAATTTTGATCAGATTAATTAAGTCTTTAATTTTTTGAGGGTTCTAACCTTGTATAATTTTTTTTATATTGGGCCCAATTTTTAAATTGGTCTAAATTGTGTTGCTGAATCTTATTGTGCATTTAGATTTTTATTTTGGGCCCTGTTTTCAAATTAGTTCATATTAAGGTTTGAAGGGTCCAAAATTAAACTTTGTTTGATTTCAACTAAAATTAAATTATTGGTGTTTTTTTATATGCTGAATATAACCATGTTGTTAGATTTTAGATATCAGACCATACTAGGTAAATTAAATGTCCCATTTCAAATTTTTAAGATCATTGACCACATTTATTTTGACAAATTGTGTCAGAAACCTATATTATGTCAAAAATTGGATCACAATCCAAATTCAGACAGTATCAAGCTTGAATATTGTGTCCAAACTTGCCCCAACTGTTCAAGATTTGACCTCTGCAGTCGTATCAGGCTGCTCTCAGCGAAGCATTTTATTGTGTTTTGGTCTCTTTTTTTTAAACTGTATGCAATAGGTCAACTATATTTGATGTATGGAAATATTTTAAGGATTAAACTAATTTTTACGAGAGTTGATATGATGCGATATCCAATTCTCAAGAGTTGTTAAACCTATTTCTCTTATGGTCAACACTCTTTTGTGATAAATTAAAAATTCTGTGAATCGTTGATCTACTCTTTTGCACATACATGCAACAGTATGATGTCATATGTCTTTTTACAGTGTCAAACTATAACATCAGACATTTTAAAACTTTATACATCAGAACTTTTTTTAACAATTTCATATGGTAAATTCAGAAATCTTTGTGATGTTTGAATTCTTGATAATGTTGCATGAATTAGGTGTCACAAAAATAGAATAGATTTGCAAATAATTAAAGATGTGGCCACTTTTCCAGAAATTAAAAAAAAAATCTCAATTTTTTTTCCATTTTCAACAGATGCATGCAAACATTTCTTAATCTACGGAGTTAAGTGTTGAAATCAGGAGCATAATGCTTGCTTTAACATAGTTTGCAAAATATTACCATTACTAGTGATAATTGTAACATCTACATCTGTAATCTCTTTATTTCCCTTTTCAGTTTTATGAAAGTCTGCTGGAGCTAGTTGAGAATTGGGAATTATGGACCTGTCTACAGGATACATTCCAGATTTCCTAAAAGACTCTTTCACACGTGCTAAGGATAAAGTCTGGTCAATTGCAGTGCTGGAAATAAAAATCATACCCATTATTCGAGAAGGAAGAATTTATAAAGTGAAAAGTAGTTATAAGGTATTTGTTCTTGTCATGGGTTATATCATACAGTAATAAGATTATGCAAGTGATGTGAAATAAAAGTTGGTGTGCTTCATGTGACTAAAATTTGAATATCAACAAGTAAGAAACAATGAGCTCACAAATGCAAAAGAAACATTATAAATCAGCCATAACTTTCAAATTTTCCAAGGGCATTAAATGTTACCCTTAACCTTCCTTCTGTCCCATTTTCTTTTCAAAACGAGAGTTGTGGCATTTATGTCCTCAAGACACATTCTTCTTTTTTATGCCCCACCTAGGGGCATTATAAATGTTTTTCGGCCTGTGCGTCCGTCCATTCGTCTGTCTGTCCCGCTTCTGGTTAAAAGTTTTTGGTCAAGGTAGTTTTTGATGAAGTTGAAGTCCAATCAACTTGAGACTTAGTACACATGTTCCATATGATATGATCTTTCTAATTTTAATACCAAATTAGAGTTTTGACCCCAATTTCACAGTCCACTGAACATAGAAAACGATATCGGAGTGGGGCATCCGTGTACTATGGACACATTCTTTGTTATTTTTATGCCCCCGCCGTAGCGGAGGGGCCATTAAGTTTTACCCCTTGTCCATCTGTACGTACGTCCCAAAATTGGTTTCCGTTCTCTAACTTTAGCTTGCCTCGAGCAAATGTTATGAAACTTATACACAATGCTTATTTCAACAAAACTCAGATCAAGTACAAATTTGGTAGTGTCACTTTTACCGTTCTTAATTTATGTCCCTTTATAACTTTATATGCTAGCTGGGGCATCATCTGTGTCCATGGGAACACATTCCCCATTTCTTTTTTTTTTTCATCTACAATGACTACATGTTACTATATTTCCTTACAGATGCTTAATGAAAGGATACAGCTAGTAACTACTGAGACCGATGGAAATCAATACCTTGTTGATTTGAAAATCATGAAAATATGAATTATTCTGCCAAGGTGAAGAGGAAGCGTGGAATCATAAATTTTGGTTGTGTATATCATTCTATTTATCAGGTGAAATAAGTGTACAAACTATTATTAATTAAATTATGAGTTAAGCACTCTTATTTTAAACAAAATTTGTAATTTGATTTGATGATAATGTTTCCTTATATTGTGTACCAAAATTGTGTACCAAAATGCTTGTTATTTGTCAGCAAAATATTTTTTTCCCATTGAAATGAAAATAAATTTCACTAAATAAGTTAAATTGTCAAATGATAATTAACCATTGCAATACAAAATTCATTTATACCAAATAAATATTTTAATCATAACCCAGCATACTGTAAATACCTTAATAAAGCAGGAAACTTTGCTTTGCCTATGGTGGCAGACTTGTTCAGGTTTCCCACTGTCACAGCTAATTGGTTGACCTTTTCTTTCAAGGGACCAAAGATGGCAACATCAAGGGGCTGAAGCAGATGAGTAGTGTGTGGTGGTAAGCCAATAATGTGGATGTTGTTTGCCTTAGCCTTTTCAATCAGGTCGATACTAATGTGTGAGTCATGGTTGTCAAATATTAATAACACTGGTCTTCTGGTTCCACAGAATGGGAGGAACACTTTGTCAAACCAGTTTTCAAATAACTCTGTGTCCATATAACCTGATTCAGATGAGCCGTACAGCCAGGTATCTGGAACACCATCTTTAAAGTTCCTGTGTGGAAGGCAGTCGTCAAAAATGATAAAAGATGGAAGGACATGTCCATCAGCACCTATGCACATATGTACAGTGATGTGACCATGCACCATCACTTTTTGCTGATAACTATGGGAACCTTTTAGTGTTAAAACTTTTTCTTTACTTTTTTCTTTGCCACTGAACCCAGATTCATCACAATTAAAGATTTGGTTAGGTTTATTTGTCAAACCTAAACTATCAACTGTGTCAGAAAGCAGTTTAAAATACTGGTCCACAACTGTGACATTCGACATACGCCTCCTGGCTTTGTCCTGCTGTTCAGGAAGTTTTTCCGACAGTTCCCTGTGTCTGTTCAGGAGTTTGTTGATCCATTTGTTGCTCGGACCTTTGTCCATATTAAATAGTGTTTTCCTGCCTGATTTTTCCACGATTGAAAGAACAAATGCCTTCAACATCCTTCTCGTCAATGGGAAACCCCTTTCAGACATATACTTGACATAGTTGATCAAGGATGTCTCTTCCTCATCTGTTAGCATTTTTGAAGGCCCATTCAAATGGTTGTCGTATTTTCCATTGACATGGTCGGATATAGTTGTCCGCGGAACCCCATATTCTTTAGCTGCTTTTGAAATGCTCATTTTGTTAGAATTCACTGCACCAACAGCTTTATCAAGAGACTCCTGCAGGTATTGCTTTTTTTTAGGCATCCCTAAAAGTAGAAATATACATATATATATGTATATGTCAATAACACACTTAGTCATTATATGTATTGAAGTATTTCCGATTTTTGATGGTTGATAACTAGTGTATTTTTGTCCCCTGTCTTGCGTGTGGTGTGGGCAATATAGAAATGGTGGTTGTCCGTCTGTATAAAACAAATCTGTACCCAGAAATTGAATGCTGATTCCCCCTAATGTAAGAAATTTCAAAGAGAAAGCAGGCAGGAAAACATTTTATTTTATTTTTATGCAAGAGATCAATCTAAGCACATGCAGCTTCAATCTACAGAGAATTTTTTCTTAAACTACTGACCAGTAATATTTATTACTATAAAAATAAGATGTGATATGATTGCCAATGAGACAACTCTCCACCAGGCCAGGATACAGCCTTTAACAATGAGCAAAACCCACTCTGCATAGGAAGCTATAAAAATTGTATAAGATTTGTAGGGTAGAGGACCATAGAATAAAGGTTTTAAAACTATTGAGTTATTAGATTGTTGGGAAATGAATCTCACTTAGTACCCAGATAATTTAACCACATATGTGAAAATGTGTCCGCTCTGAAGTGAGCTATCAAATTGTCATAGCTATTTAAACAACTTTACAAGGAATAATTCTTTTATAATTACTTGATAAGAATAAAAGATGTGTAAGCAGTTTTACTTGGCCATGGTCATTTGAACCCCCCCCTTTTACCCACAAGCATTTTTCTAGTTTCAGGACAATAACTTGTATAAAGTATTTTAATTGCTCTGAAATTGTACACAAGGTTCAATACCACAAGTAGAAGGTTGGGATTCATTTTGGGGGTAATTGCCCAAACGGAGCAGGAATTGGGAGCCAATAAGGGTCTAAAACTGTTTTTATACGACCGCAAAAAATTTTTGCTGACGTATATTGGTATGACGTTGGCGTCGTCCGAAGACACATTGGTTTTCGCACTCTAACTTTAGTTTAAGGAAGTTTGCTCCTCCTGTTTTTGAAATTTTGCCAGATTTTCGGAATCCTCTGGTTTTATCCATGTAGTGCCTTTAAAAAATTTTGCCCACTAACCCCTACTTTTCTCTTCATAATTTTATTACATATAGTTTCAAAAGCCATATTTGAAAATCTTATAAAATCCTTGTTATTTTTTCATAGTTTTTGAAAGAAAAAAGATGCCAATGTTAAATGTATGAAAAATCTAGAAAGAATCATTTCCCGCCAATTTTCCAAGGCTTATATCTCAAAAACAAGCACACGAACCTATCATTTTTTCTTCTTTTTAAGTTCTGTTATAAATATACTTTCAATTCATAACAGTCTTTTTGAAAGCTTGTTATTCTGAAACAGAGTAGCAAACATCCTTAAGTGAATGGATCTTGATGAAATTTTACCATAAGGTTCAATATCACAAAAGGAAGGTTGGGATTGATTTTGGGGGTTTTGGTACCAACATTTAAGGAATTAGGGGCCAAAAAGGGGCCAAAAATAAGCATTTTTCTAGTTTCATGACAATAACTTATGTGTAAGTGTATGGATCTTTCTGAAATTGTACTACAAGGTTCCATATCACAAAGGGAAAGCTGGAATTGAGTTTGGGGGTAATTGCCCAAAACATTTAGGAATAAGGGGCCAAAAATAAGCATTTTTCTAGTTTCCAGACAATAACTTGTGTTCAAGTGTATGGTTCTCTCTGAAAGTGTACCACAAGGTTCCATATCACACAGGGAATGCTGGGATTGATTTTGGGGGTAATTGCCTCTAAATATTAGGAATTAGGGGCCACAAAAGGGGCAAAAAACAAGCATTTTTCTAGTTTCATGATAATAACTCGTGTGTAAGTGTATGGATCTTTATGAAATTGTACTACAAGGTTCCATATCACAAAGGGAAAGCTGGAATTGAGTTTGGGGGTTATTGCCCAAAACATTTAGGAAAAAGGGGCCAAAAATAAGCATTTTTCTAGTTTCCAGACAATAACTTGTGTTCAAGTGTATGGATCTCTCTGAAATTTTACTGCAAGGTACCATACCACAAAGGGAAGGCTGGGATTGAGTTTGGGGGTGATGAATCATAAGGGGGTTCAAAAAAATGGGGGGGGGGGATTTTTTTTTTTTTCTTTTAAAATTTTCCACATTAAGTTGGTTATTTCTGTTTTATATTTAAAAGCAAATAATAATGATATGGTAGGAGATACACACCAAACAGGATGTGTAAATTATTATAAAATAAGTATTGTGCAATAGCAAGAAATTTTCAATTGCACAGTATTGCACAATAGCAAGAAATCTTCAATTGCACAGTATTGCGCAATAGCAAGAAATCTTCAATTGCACAGTATTGTGCAATAGCAAGAAATATTCAATAGCACAATATTGCGCAATAGCAAGAAATTGTCAATTGTACAGTATTGCGCAATAGCAAGAAATATTCAATTGCACAGTATTGTGCAAAAGAAGATACTTCGTATAAATTGCTTATTTCTTGACCAATTTCAAGGGGGTTTTATTCTTGAATTCTTGGGGTTCTTTAATATGCCGATTCTAACTGTGTATTAAGTTTTTGGATTTTGGGCCCCGTTCTTAAATTGGTCCACATTGAGGTCCAAAGGGTCCAAAATTAAACTTTGTTTGATTTCATCAAAAATTGAATTATTGGGGTTCTTTGATATGTCGAATCTAACCGTGTATTTAGATTCTTAATTTTTGGTTCCGTTTTCAAATTGGTCTACATTAAGGTCCAAAGGGTCCAAAATTAAACTTAGTTTGATTTTAACAAAAATTGAATTCTTAGGGTTCTTTGATATGCTGAATCTAAACATGTATTTAGATTTTTGATTATGGGCCCAGTTTTCAAGTTGGTCCAAATCGGGGCCCAAAATTAAACTTTGTTTGATTTCAACAAAAATTGAATATATGGGGTTCTTTGATATGCTGAATCTAAACATGTATTTAGATTTTTGATTTTTGGGCCCCATTATCAACTTTGTCCACATTGAGGTCAAAAGGGTCCAAAATTAAACTTTGTTTGATTTCATCAAAAATTGAATTCTTGGGGTTCTTTGATATGCTGAATCTAACCATGTATTTAGATTTTGGATATTGGACCATAATAGGTGAATGTCAAATTTAAAATTTTTAAGTTCTTAGACCACATTCATTCTGTGTCAGAAACCTATGCTGTGTCAAATATTTAATCACAATCCAAATTCAGAGCTGTATCAAGCTTGAATGTTGTGTCCATACTTGCCCCAACTGTTCAGGGTTCGACCTCTGTGGTCGTATCAAGCTGTGCCCTGCGGAACATTTTATTCTAGTTTTCAGACAATAACTTGTGTTTAAGTGTATGGATGTCTCTTAATTTGTACCACATTTTACATGAAGAAAATTCATTCAAAATTAATTTTTTTGGAAGGTTTTTTTTCCTCGAAAGAAAATTCTCTTCAAATATTTTTTTTTTTTGGAGGATGGGTAAAAAAACAGTTTTTTTTTGGGGGGGGGGGGTCTATTTTTGTTCCCTCAAGATTCAAGAAATTGTCAATTTTCCAAAAAAAATTGAGGGTCACAATTTATTAAATTGCTAATTCTTTGTATATAGTCTGAAAACAGATTTACTAAGTATTGCGCAACAGCACAGTGTATTGCACAACAGCAAGAAATCTTTGACTACATTTATTCTGTGTCAGAAACCTATAATGTGTCAAATATTTAATTACAATCCAAATTCAGACCTATATCAAGCTTGAATATTGTGTCCATTTTTGCCCCAACTGTTCAAGGTTGGACATCTGCGCTCAGCAAATCAGTTTATTTATATAGATTAGACCGTTGGTTTTCCCATTTGAATTGTTTTGCACTAGTCATTTTGGAGCCCTTTATAGCATGCTGTTTGGGGTGAGCCAAGGCTCTGTGTTGAAGGCCATACTTTGACCTATAATTGCTAACTTTTTATACATAGCAGACTTGGATGGAGAGTTGTGTCATTGGTGCTCATACCACATCTTATATATATTAGTTACAGATCAAGTTTTAATTTTTTTCCGAACTAATGATTTTGTGCAGAGTTATGTTCCTTGGACTTGGAAAATTAAGGCAAGTGATCAGCTTTTTTCATTTTTTTCATTCATTGATTGATATTTGGTATATAGTTTAACCATGACAAGTTGTAGATAGGTGTGCAATTTGTTCAGTTTGGATGATTTTATTGTAGCGTTATGGTCCTTGGACTTAAAAAATCACTCAAAAAATCATTTTTCCATCGATATGTTATGGCAATGTCTGCTTCTGAGTCGAAAGACATTTTGGTGTGCAAAAAATAACTTGAATACAATTGTAATGATCTCTCTGAAATTTTAGCACAAAGTTCCATACCACAATCGGAGGGTTGGGATTGATTTTTGGGGTGGTTGTTTTGTAATTCGGGGCCAAAAACAATTATTTGTATGGTTTGAAGACAATAACTTGAATATAATTTTACTACAAGGTTACAACATACTTAAAAAGAAAGTTGGGATTGATTTGAGGGTCATGGCCCAAACTATTTAATAATAAGGGGTCGGAAAGGGGCCAAAAACAACTATTAAAAAGTTGGTCCAAATTGTGGTCAAATATTAAACTTTTTAATGTCATCAAAAAATGAAATTGGTGTTCTTTTATGTGGGCAATCTATCTGTTTTAAATTTTTGGTTTTTGGACCGTTTTATGTTTACTTGACGTATGGTGGTATACGGTTGTCCGTCCGTCGTCAACATGTCGGACAATAACTCAAAAACGCTTAATTCAATTTGCAAATTTGCATGAAACTTTGGTGAATTGTTTAGATCTATTGATGTGATCTCCCTTTCATAAAAGAATTTTAGATTTTATGTTTTAGAGTTGTGGTTTTTTTTCTTTAAAAAGGGTGATTTTCCAGTTTTCGGACTAAAACTTAAAAACTCTTTTGAGCAGTTTCATGAAACTTTAGATTTTACTCTTCTGAGTGGTGGGATTTTAGTCCATGGGACACGGATGATGCCCCCGCTTGCATATAACGTTATAATGGGGCATAACTCAAGAACTGTAAAAGTGATGCTACCCAAATTTGTACTTGATCTGAGTGTTGTAGTAATAAGCATTGTGTAAGTTTCATAACATTTAGTTGAGGTATAGAAACTAAAATATTTGGAATTTTTATACGACAGCAGGTAGTACTATGTTGTGGTGTTATCTGCGTCGGAAGACATTTTTGTTTTCGCAGACAATAACAAGTATAAGTTCATGCATCTCTGAAATTTTAGCACACGATTCCATACCAGTAAAGGATGGTTGGGATTGTTTTTGGGGGCTACTGTCATTGCGGTTTTGTAATTAGGGACCAAAAAAGGTAAGTTTTACTGGTTAATGGAAAATAAA